TGTCTGTGTCTGTGCCCGTGCAGGGGAGTGGAAACAACCCATCCAGGGGCCCCTGGATACCCCCATCCCAGGAATTCTGAGACCCCTGGGGCCACAGGCCTGGCCTCAGTTCCCCACCTGGTCAGCATTGTCCAGAAACAGCTGACCATACTTCTAGTGTGCACTGAACCTGCCCCCTGGAAACTCAGGCCTCAGAGGTCTGACTGGAGCCCAGGTTTCTGTGTGTCCTTCCCCCACCCACACCTGTGCTGTGGACCGTATGTCTGGGCTAACTCTCCTGCTCTCTCGGAGCCCCAGGCTGGCTTGGTGAGGCAGGGACAGCTGGAGGGAGATGGTGCCCACCGTATCTGTTCCACGGCCTGCAAGATGGTCCTTTTCAGGAGTTCCTGAATGTTCCGGATAAGCTCTGCCTCCTGAGACAGGAGAAGGCCCAGCTGACCCACACGATCCAGTCAGCTTCTCAAACACGCAGGACCCACCTAGACCTTTCCTGATCATATACCTGTCTTTTTCCTCATTGGGTTAATTTTGGACTTTAAAAATTATACCTTCCCACATGCCTGAGACTTACCACCCCTTGCCCCTGGAGGTCCTCACTGTGGTTTGTTCAATGAACTTAGGATCCCGAACCCCTGGGAGACCAGATGTCCCCCTGAGAGTTCTTCTTGGGGCTTTTTGTCTGGAAAGGCTCCTTGACCCCCACAACATGAGGGGAAACAATGTTTCTTTCTAGTATGGGTTTTATGTTTAGTATTCCACTCTTATCTGGTGAACTTTCTCCTTGTCTGGTACTAAAGGCCACTGTGTGGGGGTCTAGTTCCCATCGGCCCTGCGGGTCAGACTACTGGCCCTGTATCATGTTTTAAAACCCCAAACCACAGCCGTTAAGTGTATTCAGCCTCATAGAAACCCTAGGGGGGCAGAACGGAACAGCCAGCTCCAAGGGCTTCAAGGCTGTAAATCTTTACAGGAGCTGATAGCCTCATCTTTCTCCCACAAGGGGCTGGTGAATTCAAACCACTCACCTTTTGCTTACTTAACAGAGGTGCCCCAAGGTTCCTTGAGACATGTTTACAGTGTTTTAATTACTGGAAGGGTGCTGGAGGGTGACATGGAGCTTGGCATCTCGGCAAGCAATCTGAGGAGATGTGGGGTGGGGGGAGGACGACACGGCCCCCTCTGCCCTCCGCCTTGCAGGTGCCCACTTCCCGGGGTCAGGGTGCGCCCGCCGTACCTTCAGCAGCTCCATCTCCACATAGTCTCGCACGAGATCCGGGTGCTGGCGGCGCTCGCGGCACTGTAGGTTATCCATGGCGATTGAGTAAGGCAGCTCCATGGCGTCTAAGGCGCGCTCCAGCCGCACCTTCTGAGCCAGCAGCAGGTCGGTCTCGGCCAGCAGTTCCCAGATCTGGCGTTGCAGTTCCGACTTCCAGCCATGGGTGTCCTGCAGCCGCTCGCCCACCTTGCGCGTGCTGTCTTCCTGAGTGCGCTGCGCCAGCGCCTCGGTCTCGGCTGCCAGCTGCTGACTCTCGTGGCGGTGCCGCTCCGACTGGTCGCGGTCAGCGAAGGCCTGGTGGTATCTGGCATAGCAGTTTTGGAACCACTCATCCACCAGGTATTTGGCCGTGCGGAAGCCGGCGGTGGCCAGGCCAGACGACGTGTAGGCGCCGGTGTTGCGTTCCACTTCATACTCTTTGCGTGGCAGCTCACACACCTGCACTGTCTGCGGCGCGGGCTCCCGAGTCAGGAGCACGTCCGTCTGAGCCATGGCACAGCCCGTGCGTCTCCGGGCTCAGTAGGACAGTGAGGGGGCAAGTGAACCGCGGGCGATCAGCCAGGCAGCGCCGCCCACCTCCCAGAACTGGATGAGTTCCATGGTCGCTCCAGCAACACGGTACACAAAAAAACTTTTCGGTTGCTCGGCAACAGGGAAGCACACGCCCCCCCAACTGCCTTCTTAAAGGGCCAGGCGCCCAGATGCCGAAACTTCGACGAAGGGGTCAACACCGCTTCCTCCGAGTCTTCTCTTCTATGTCTTCAGTAGAAACATCTGGGGACATGCTGCCTGCCTCCCGCTCCCTTTCATTCGTTCGTTCACGCATTCATTCATTCCTGGGAGTGTTCTTCCCACGTTGCCCTGCTTTTGGATCATGGGCAGGACAGAAGTCTCAGCGGATGAGGGTGGGCACTGGTTGTTTCTAGAGCAACAACCCTAGACGTGGCCTCAGCCCTGTCAACACACCCCCTGGCCTCGGCCAGGCCCGCCCCTTCCCCTCTGTCCTTGCTGATGTCCACTCTAAAAGGAGAGGGAAAGGCTCCACCGACTCCTCAGAGTTACCGTGTCCATCTGCCCCTGTCCTTCGGGCCTCGTGGGTCTCTGAGGCCCCTTCCTCGTCGACATTCCCCTACTTCTCCTTGTGTGCTTCAAGCGGTGAAGTTCCCGGATGCGGCGGGGAGGACGTGCTCTTTAATGCAAAGTTAAAATAGGCCTGGGACGTAGGTCGTGCCCTAGGGACGGTCCCCCAGGGCCACTCAGGCTCTGGTTGTGAGGCTCAGGAAAGCGGGAGAAAGCCCATCCGGCCCCCAGGCACCACTGGATGCCCTAGCACCTGGGGCGATGCTTACAGCGGCCAGCAGAGGGTGCCATTGACCACAAAATGCCTAGAGCAGCTGCTCATGGACTCCTCTCCCGCTCTCGCTGCCCCTAAGTGAACGCCTAGTTCAGTAACCCCATCGCCCAGCAGGCTTTATCCTCACCGGCCCCATCCACAAGCCTCTTAGGAGGAAATTCACATCCCTTAGAAGATGTCCCGAGGTTCACCCCTTCTTCTCCTAGCACTCTCCCCAACCCTACTCGGGTCATCTTAATCCTCTTCAGATACCCAGCCTGGTCCAGACCCCAAACTTCAGACCCAGGGAACCCACTGGAATACATAGGTCCAGGAGGAGGACGTCAAGGGTTTTGATCCAGTTCAAAATGGTGAGCAACTTGTAGACTCCGCCTGTGAGGCCAGTGTGCCAGGGTGCTGAGGTTCTGGGGTGCCAGTGTGCTGTGATGGAGTATTGGGGTGCTATGGTCTATAGTAAGATGCTGGAGAACCAGAGTGTCGGGGTACTGGAGTGCATGTTGGGGTCAGCAGCTGGCCTTTGCCTGAGTGAGAGTCCGGTATGAACTCACACTGTGGCCCAGGGGGCTGGTCTGCAGAGGTCCAGGCTTGGCCCCCCACCCTGTCGAGTGTGATGACCCAGCCCCAGACCTCCCCATCTCTGATGGGTACAGACACGGGAGGAGCCCCAGCTTGGATTCCTTGCTGAATGGGAAGCTCCCTACTCTACCTCAGTTTCCACACACACATTGAGTATAACACCAGTCACCATATGTGAGGTTGGGGGTCACTGGTCTCCATTCCAGCCCCACATAGCCCCCTTCCATCTGGGTGCCAACCCCCTCAGCTTGCAGCAGGATCGAGGTGAGTGCTCGTGGTGGGGGTGGGGTGAGGCAGAGCGCTGGCGGCAGTGGGCATATGACGCTGATTGGATTTATTTGTATCCAAACTGCATTTTCGCCGGGAAAATTCAGTCAGACCACTCCAGTTTCCACAGGCAGGTCTGTGGTGGATGGGTTCCCTGCACACATCCCTCAGAGCGCATGCGCAAGCCCCCTTCCCCCAGCCACACATCCCTGCACACTGGGTGCTGACAGCCTCAGAACCCACTCTCCGCGCTCAGAACAGAACTGGGAGACCAGCATCCACACAGCTGGTTCCCCCCGGAAGGCCTGCTGGTGTCCCCAGGGCTGTGGCCGGAACAGCCGGCTCTCCCTGTCAGTCACCACAGGCCACCCTCCCTCTGTTGTTGTGTCTCTTTCCCCCTTTGATAAAGATGCTGACCATTGGATTCAGGGTCCAACCCACCTGCAAAGACACTACTTCCAACCACGGTCTCATTCACAGGTTTCAGTTGAACAGAACTTTTGTGGGCACCGTTCATCCCAGTGTAACCTTGAGTCTGATTTTCCCTCTTGTGGGTCCTCAGGTTTGGGAGGACCATATCTTGTCTTGAAGCCCAGGTCCCTCCACCTCGGCCCTGAATCCCCCTCCTAGGGCATCCGGGCCCCAGATAAGCCCAGAGGTGGCTGCACAAACTGACCCCGCTCCACCATGGACATCCAGATGCTGGGTGTCCAGTCCCAACAGGACACTGGTGTCCTAATGCCTCTGACAGAATCTGCTACATCATGTGTAGGAGCTAGGGCTGAACACCGGAAATGGGGGTCGTGGTCCTGGGCCTTCAGATCCCACAGGGGCTGTGCATACAGGGATACTGTGGATGGCAGAACCTCTCACCATGTCCCCAACCCCTGGGGCCTACTGGGGGGACAGGAACAACCTCACATCAGGCTTCTATTGTGTGGACCCAGTACCCCCAGAGGGCCGAGGCCCCTCCTCCTCCGTCATCTCGGCTCCGCCTCACTGGAGGCCCAGGTGACTACAGCCAGCTCAGTGTCACATGGCCGGGGCAGAGGAAACACATGGACATATGGCTTCCCAGTCACCCAGGGCTGCACCCCACCCCCACCTCCACAGGAATGGCAACTCCAGTAATGACGGAGCACATCACCTGCCGGACGCCGGAGGGTGGCTTGTTCCCGTCCTCCCCGGGAATATTGTCATAATGAAGGAACCCAACTGGGGGCAGTCACAGCCAATACCAGAGAAACGCCTTCTGCCTTCACCCCAGGAACCCCCACTCCAAACCTCCAGGCACAGGACAGAGTGGGAGGGGATGAGGCCAAAGAAGGGGGGCTCTGGAAGACTTTCTGGAGGAAGGGTCCCTGCCCAGCCTGGAGGGGCAGGTAGATGTTGAGGCTGCAGGGTGGGGGTCCTACAGAGCTCAGCCCCCTCCCTGGTGAGGACACAGCTGGAGGAATGAGGAGACGTGAACGTCTGATGAGGCGGGCTGACGTGGGCACAGTGCCACATCTCTGGACTTGGCAGCCAGTGGAGGGTGACCGATGAGGTCATGGTACCCTCTGCTCAGTCCTTGTCCTGTTCTTCTGGGCAGTGGGCAGGAAGTGGGGACTCGAGTCTGAGAGTGCTGCCTGCCTGCTCACACCCAGGGAGCTTACCTGCAGTGAGGTCACCCAGTGACCCCACCTTTGTGGTCCGGATCCATACCTGTGAGACATCATGTGACTTGGTTTCCCCATCTAGAGGACAGGGGCAACCAGGACCTCCGTAGGGGAGGCATGAGGACCAGAAGAGCTTGGCTGTGGTTGCACCTCCAGTCCAACCGGACCCATTAGGCCTCACTCCCACTGGGAGGGCTCCACAGTCTACATCTGGAACAAGGTCCCTCCCCAGTCCACGGGGAGGGAGGCTGGAGGGTCCCGCCAGGCCCTGAACCCCTGCCCAGAGAGGTCAAGTAAGGAAGCGGCCACGCTTTTGAGTAGCTGGAACCAGACAGTCCCCTTGACCTTCACCAAATCCTCTCCCCCACCCTGCAGAGTCAACTCCAGACACATCTGAGACGCACTGTGTTTAAAGAAGCTATAAAACCCCAGAATTAAACGAAATCACTTGCAGATCCTGACTGCAGGCAGCAGATAAACGCCTGGCGGGGAAGGGTGGAGGACACGCAAGAAGAAGGGCTCACAGATACAAAGATTTCAGAAAGGAACTTCAGACCGGTGAGATGGAGCAGGACAGAGATGAATGCGTGAGAGAGCAGAGACGTGCCCTGGGCTGGACGTTCTGCAGAGCAGGAGGCTCGGGGCTGCAGGATGTGACCTTGGGCAACCTGACTGTGGCCTTGGGTGACCTCCAATGCTGGCCATTCTCATGGCTGCAAATAGTGATAAGGATGCGTCCCTGTGAGCTCAGGCAGAGCGGCTCCTGGGACTCAGCCTGCAGCAAGTTCTGGAGAAACCTTTATGGTTTGCTTGGTGGTAATGTTAACTGCTGGAAAACACAGCATTCTCATTGTTTTAGAATGGGTAATTCAATGGCATTGCATGCCATAGTTTAGTTTCAATCCGTTTTAATCAAATGGAAACCCTGCACCCATTGGTGGACACGTCTCAGTTCCCCTCCCCTTAAAAAAACAAAAACAGTTACTATTGAGTTGACTCCCACTCAAGACGACCCCCATGTGTGACAGAACAGGGATCTCACTGGTTGGTTTTTGGAAGTTGATCATCATCTGAGGCATCTCTGGGTGGACTTGAACTTTCAGCTTTTCAGTGACCAGTCAAGTGAGTTGACAGTTTTTGTTACTCCATGAAGTCACTTCTGAGTCACAGTGATACTCCAGGACTGAGTAGGACCCGCCCTGGAGAGTCTCCAAGGACAGAATCTTTACTGGAGCACACAGCCACATCTTCCTCCCCACTTCCAGCCCATAGTTTCATCCATGCAATCATACAAGATGTGTGTTTTTGCTTTTGTTTGATCTGGCTGCGTCCACTGAGCATATTTCCAAGGTCCGTGAGCGTCCTCACCCCTGTATGGCTGTATCCTCTGGGGCCGAGTAGCATTTCATTGTGTGGATAGACACATGTGTCTATCCATCGTGTGTGAAGGACACTTGGGCGTGTCCACCTTCAGGCTGTTGTGAACATCAGTGCAGAGAGAGGATCTGTGTGAATCCCTGCTTTTGACCCTGGAGATGGCATTCCTTGTATTTGGAAATTCTCCAAGACCATGACTTTGCAGTCATAGGAATGTGGGAGAATGCTTTGAAGCCCTACCTCCCTGGTATCTTACAAAT